TATGCACAAGCCCACGGTCACTCATTGGGCTGCCACCAAGAGGCTTCTTCGTTATCTCAAGCGAACAATTTTTCATGGTATTCATATCCGGAAAGCTGCTGCACCGTGTTTAACAACTTATAGTGATGCTGACTAGGCTGGTAACATTGATGATCGCACGTCTACATTGGCTTACATCACATTTCTTGGCTGCAATCCTATCTCCTGGAGTTCGAAAAAACAGAGGGTTGTTGCTCGATCCTCTACGGAAGCTAAATATCGCGCACTTGCTAATGGCGCCTCATAAACACTATGGCTTCTTGCACTTTTTCATGAACTTGGATTTCCATTGACAGTGCCACCTTCTCTACTATGTGATAATCTTGGCGCAACTCACCTTAGTTTCAATCCGGTTCACCACTCAAGAATGAAGCACATCCAAATTGATCTTCATTTTGTGCGTGATCAAGTTCAGAAGGGTATTCTTCATATGCGCCACGTCCATACTCAAGACCAATTTGCAGATCTATTAACCAAGTCACTGTCTCAGACACGAACTGAATTATTACGAGCCAAAATTGGACTTGCTGATGGAAGTTCAATTTTGCGGGGGCATATTAAAGAAGATCCTGGAAATTTGCAGATGCATGAAATCTGCAAGTGATTGAAGCATCAGTGTGAAGGAAATCTGCTACTGATTTACAGCACCAAGGGAAATCTGCAGATGCATGAAATCTGCAAGTGATTGCAGCATCAGTGTGAAGGAAATCCGCTATTGATTTACAGCACTAAGACTACAATCATGCTTGTGAATTAATACAAATATTCTGTCTATAAATGTTTTTTTTATTGCTATAATCTTTCTTTAATAGAATATGTAATTGTTATAATTATTAGTATATAATTATAGGCTGAGTATCAATAAAACTATGTTGTTGAAAATTACATTGTAAACTTCTAAGTATTATTCTAATACTCTTTAGAGCGTGCATTAAATGCCACACTTAATAAATAAAAAATCTGAGAGGTCCATCAAATACCTATCAACTAACCACAACTTAGCAACCTAAGCCAAGCCAAAAACTCAAGAAACTCACTAGCTCCACGAAACCAGATGACGCTCTT